TATATATATATATATATATCGTCTGGTCTTTTTAATAAGATGTTAATGCAATGGAAAACTTGGGGGCAGTGCCCATAAATGAAAGACCGTATTTTCCGGTGCTACTACAGTCTCACATGTGATGGTTTAGGGAGATGGTGTGTTTTTTTACGTTTAAAATCTCTAAAACTGGGTTTGACTTATGAATCGAGAAGAACGTATATAGAAATGTGTGTTATCATTAAAACAAATACACACTTATTACTCTCGAACAATCAAATCCTAGACTTCATTTAAAAAAACAAATAAATGTGAGAAAATTAATATTTTTTTGGTCAATTTATTTTTATTTTGTATCAGCATCCTAAGACTGTACCTTAAATTAACATAATACAAAGGAGTAATATCATATTTTTCTACATCATCTTTTTATAAATCTTCTTTTTATTTTATAAAAATCAAATGTATTTAATATTTATTTAAAAGAAACTAGGAAGATAGAGTATGAGGATTAATATTTCTAAGGCATTAAATATATTTATTTTTTTTATTTAAGGAGTATAGTTTTTATAAGATAAGAAGAAAACTTGCTAGAAAATCCGGAAATAGATCGGTATATATAACATGCTTGTTCCTCAGCATAAAAAGAGAGGTACACCTATAAAAATGAATTGTGAAATGAGTATTTCTTCTTATAACATGTGCATGTACGATGTATCTTATCTTTGTTGCAGGAAAATCATGTACCTTCGTCAAAGTGAAGTGCCCGTTAAAAAAAAAAAAAAAAAAAAAAAAAAAATTTCTTCCCATTTTACCAATTTTTTTTTTAAATAAATTATGTGCACTCATAAGTATTATTTTAAAAGCTTTAAAATTTTAAGAAAACATAATTTCACATTGGTCAAAAGAGAAGTTTTTTTTTTTTGTTAAGAATTTATATGTCAACATTTATCTTTAGTTAGTACAAGCACTGAAACAGGGAATGGGCTTATGTACACAAAAATTTGGATTGTCACATGCTTTTTCTGCTATTTTTTAACATTAGCCCCCGCAACTAATCTTACCGTAGAAATATATTTTTTATTTTTAAAATCTTAAGTGAATTATATTCTAATGACTCGTTACAACGTGTAACATGTATATATATATATATATATATATATATATATATATATATTATGCCAAGTGGTTTTTTTGTTAAATGATAAAAATATACTAGTATGAAATAAAATAAAATAAAGTGAACTAGAAAAACCTTGGTATTATTTATATCATACGTATTACTTTAACGACCAAGTTCAATGATTCTTAATTTGATGTTTATATGAATAAAGAATAAAACTTGAAACCGAGTCTGCAATCTGGGTATCTTGTTTAGTATGAGGAGAAGCAATAATGGTCGAGATGAGATTGTGATTTGTGAAGGGTGGAGAAATATAGCATTCACACACACTCCCTTATTTTTCTGTCCTGCCTCCCTGTTCAATGTTCATTGCTAAACAGGCTGCTGCCGAATGCAAACAAAAAACCATATGTACTTCCCACAATGCATTAATGCAACAACTATACATTTTCCAAATTAAAATGAGAAATTGGTGGCATTGGAGCCACTAGAGGATTTGGATGGGAAGCTTCTTCTTGATTTCTTACAAGTATAGAATGGGGGGTTAAGCTGGTTGCCGTAGCACAATATGCTTCAAAATAATTGCGACGATTGTGATATTTGAATAGTTTTGGTAGCATTGGGTCCCCAACACAAAACGCCTCTCTCTGCTGCATCACTTTCACAATTTTTGTTGTTTGCATTGAGCCACCGTTGTACAACTTTGCTACAACTAATGGACCGTCTTAAATAACAGTCCATCATTTTTCTCTCATTGCATCATCGTGCTCTTGTTAAACTCACTTAGTCAACTTTTTTTTATGTGTTGTCTCTTCATTACTCTGTCCATCCATCTCGTGCCTTCCAAACCAAGGAGTTCAATGCCAAATCAAATTCGTGACATCCTTCAGTTATCATTATTAAACACATCTCGTTCTACAACGCACTCAATCATTTAAATTCTTTTGATGCTTGATAATGCTCAACAAAATTGATTATTTAATGCTTTTTAACTGTACAACACTCGATCATTCTATACATTCTAAATTTTTATACAACTAGTATCTACAATAAGAAACTAGTTTTTCACAATTTAGTGAATAAGTTGCAATTTTTATTAAGAGAGATTCACGTTTAGCATCTGATGATATCGATCATTTTGTTATTTTTTATAATTAAATTTTAGTATTTTGTTGGAGTAAAAAAAAAACGTTGATTGTGTAGACTCTAGAGAAGCATCTCTTTGATTTGCTCTGTTCTCCTTACCATGATCCGCATAAGCCCTTCTTTTCAATTGTTTGTTAAGGTCTTTCCATGATTGTTACTTACTAGAACATCACAGTTCATACAAACATACCCCGCAAAACTTCACCCTTCTCAACAATGCTAGCTTCTCCGTTTATTAAATTTCGCCTAAACGATAAACCAACAATTTTATCATCTTCTAACATATTCTTCCAAATTCTAAAGGTTAATCACTTTAGACATAAGTCCTTTAACTTTTCTAAAGTTTAATCTTACTCCTTGATAGATGGAGTATGTGTTTCGATTTATTTTGATTTTAAAGTTATGCGGTTTTTATTTGAATATTTTTATTATAAACAATTTATAAGTAGTAAGAATAATTTTTTTATCCGAGCAAAAGTGGCCTAAAATCGTTTTAATTTAAAATCATTTCTAAACTTTCTAACATGAAAATAGATATGTAAAAGATTACCTAAAATCACATTAAATGTTATAAACTAAACACGCACATAGTTGTCCATTGCCTTAGTTCCCAAGGTTAATGAACGTTAAATGGCATCAACATTCATTAAAAGAATGTTATTTTATGAGATGGGAAAAAAACACATCAAAATCTTAACTGTCATTTCGTTCATCATTGTCGTCTTTTTCTTCATCCAACAATGACAACTCCTTACGTGGATCCTACAAACTGTTAATAGAGGTTACAACGTCGACCACACCAAAGCATCATTTACAAGATTTTCAATACTTGGAACAACGCTATATATATATGTTATGGTTGGTTAGGGTGGAAGGGTCATCAATAGAAACTAGCAAGTACCCTCTCTTTTTTAGAAATTTCGCCAGCAAGAAGTTTCCCAATGTGTTGGACTTGAATTAATGTCACTGAGGTAATTAAGCAGATCCTACAAACTCAAATGTGATACTTACCATTTCGCTTATAAAAGAAAAAGATAGTTACCATTTCTTTTATTAAGAAGAATGTGTCATGGTTACTAGTTGTTTGAATGTGCATTTTAATATTTATTACTCAAATTAAGATGGGGAGATGGAAAAACCGAGATTCGTGGCCCTCGATGTTTTTTGTGGAGCTTGAGGGGAGAATAAATGTAGTGAAAACTAGAAAGAGGAGGGTGAATTAGCTAAACACATGCCATTCTTGAATGATACGGATGCAAATCGTACTAAGGTGACAAGTCAATAGTTCCATAAATGATTATTAATGTACACTAATATCAGGACTAAACATTGTTATTCCTGTCAAATGTTAAAATTTATCTTTTTCTTTTTTAACTTTC